CCCCCCCCCCCCCCCACCCGCACCAAACAAGGAGGGGGGGAGGAGGAGCTGGATAGGAAAAGTCCCAGGCTGGCAGGCAGGGAAGTAGCTGCTGCTGGGTGGGGGAGGGGGGGAGGGGATGTGCAAGGATGCAAGGGAGGCATGGCAAGGGTTGGGGAGGATGCACAAGGGTGCATGGCAGTGCCTGAGGATGGCGGGGTGGGGGTTGGGGAAGGCATGCGAGGGTGTGAGGAAATGCAAGGAGGTTCAGGGAGGATGCACAAGGGTGCGAGGGAGTGTAGCAAGGTTCAGGGAGAATGCACGAGGGTGAGTGGGTGTGTGTGAAGGATGCGCAAGGGTTGGGGTGGGTGCATGCGGGTACATGACTGGCTGGCATGGCACAAGCACGGGGGGGGGGGGGGGGGAGATTTACCCCAGTGACTTGCAACTTTCCCTGCCAGTTTCCCCATTTATTTTCTGGGGAAGCCAGCAGGGAAGGTCACAGATGATGATCATGTGATCACAGGATACTGCAACCTATCACAAGTGTGAGCTCATTGCTAAGCACCCAGATTGCGATCACATGACTGCAGGGGTGCTGGGATGGCCAGAACTCTGAGGACCAGTTGTAACCACCATTTATTCAATGCCGTTGTAACTTTGAATGGCCACTGAACGAATTGTTGTAAGTCAAGGACTATCTGTACAAATTGTATAGCTGGAATCCTGTTTGTAATTTTGGGGACCTACTGGAGGGATTGGGTTTGAATTCCACAGAAAAGATGTGCTGCAGAGTCAGAAACTACTCTTTCTCATACCTTTCTATGCTCTCTCATATAAGGGGATTTTGCCCCTAAGTTTCCAGAGATAGACTCCAAAGAAAGAGCCAAACAAGGAGGACTGTATCCAGCTACATGTACTTTTTACTGTAAAGAATCAGACTCCCCCCATTTGTTACATAAGGAGAACAGACAAATGTGGCTTCCCTTGTTATGACTATTTGTTCCCCAGATGTTACCGGATAACCTTGCTGGACCCCATAAACTTTCTGTAAGTGAACTTTCCAGAGACAAGCTATGGATATCACGTAGTCTCAAACTGGTCCCCTTGGTGCTGAATTATCTCTATCTAATGTGGGACTGAAGGGAGTAATGCAACCTCTCTGGAGTTGGAAGGAGAGAAGGCTGATGTAGAGCTTTATAACAAGTCTGAGAGAGGCAATTTCAGGAAGACTCAACGCTTCCTCCTCAATTATGAAGTGCAACTAAGGCTGGAGTCTCACTCACTGGGCGAGCGCACCAAAGTGTTGCCTGAACTGAGATGCTTCAGGTAAAGTGTATAGTGGATGATATGCCCGTTGCGGTCTGCCAAGGGAATCTCCTCCCAAGAGATGAAAATGGCAGTAGAGGAAAGTCTTCTGTCTTGCAATCCCTGGGGACCAGCTGATGGTGCTGGAAATGCAAAGAAGGAAGCAGAGGCTGTGACTTAAAGAACAGGCTGGGTGCTTCGGTATGTGGGCAAAGCTTACAGTTCATTTCCATGTTGTAACAAGGGTACATTGCAGTACCTACCGCATTACAGAAGGTGCACCAAAAGTCAGATCCCATTGGCCAATAGACGATCCAAAGGAGATCATCACATTAGAGTTTGGGAACATCAGAGAAAATGTTGCTATACTGAGGAATGTTCAAAGGCCATGCATCAAAGGAAGTGTTTAAGAAGAAAATGGTAACCAATTCAAACATTTAATATAATTTGTCTCTGTGGCCTGATTTTTGGTACACTCTGTATGTAAAGTTCTATATAATGGATAAAGCCTTCTTTTCCAAAATTTCTAGTTCGCATGAAAAAAATAACAACACTTTTCCCATCATAGCACTCATGTTTTAAATCAGCCTCCCTCCAGAAGCTAGGCAATCCCTGGCAGTGATGGCCTTCTGAGAGGAAATGAAGACCAAATTCTTTCAAAAGTACCTTTGGAGAATGATTGTGCAACAGCTGAAACACCTTAATGCAGGTAGTCCTTGCTTAATGACCATTTGTTCAGCAACTGTTTGAATTTACAACAGCGCTGAAAAAGGAGACTTACGACTGGTCTTTGAAGTTCTGGTGTCATGGCACACCCATGGTCATGTGATCAGGATGTGGGTGCTTAGCAAACAGCTCACACGTACAATGGTTGCAGTGATCACCATTTGTGAACTTTCCTGCTGGCTTTCCACAAGCATAGTCAATGGGAAACCTGGCAGGGGAGGTCGCAAGTTGCTCTGGTAAGTTGCTTGCACCCTCCCACGCCTGGCAGCAGCCACCCCCAGCCTCACTGTGCTTGCGCTGGGCAGCACACCTTACCTACCCACCAGCCTGTTTGTGAGCCACCCGGGACTTACTTAATGACTCGCAATCCTCGCTTAATGATGGCAGTGGGGGTTGCTGGGATTGCTGTCGCTAAGCCGTGCAGTCACGTGATGCCACACTTTAACCAAGGACTACCTGTAGTTTATTTATTTTTTAGTGTAAATTCAGATTTGTGGATATTATAGTGATTTAAATGTGTCTTGTATGGTTGCAAGCTGTTGCAAATCAATCACGATTCAAAGCACGTGAGTTTAATATATCGTGTGTGCACCTGCAAACATCAAAAGCAAATAATTTGGCCTTTGCTGTTGTTTGGAAATTACCTTCTTCTTTGTAATAGGCTCGTACGGAGTCTGAGGCAGTTCTCCCATGAGCATATAAACCATATACACGCACAAGGTATGGTACTTTTGGACTGAAGTTGCCTAAGGAGAAGGAAAGAATCAAGGTTTAGGAAACATCATCAGTGAGTGGCAATTGCTAGCCAGCTTGTCTCTCGGAGCAGGCTAAGAGCTGAGCAGGACTTCCTTCCTTCAGTTCACAGATCAATAGAAGGCTTATATAAAGCCTTGGAAGCTGAAGGTCACATGGGCCTGCTTTAACCTGCTTCTATAGGAAAGCAAAACAGAGACCCCAGGAAGTGCTAGAAAACTTTCAACACCTCCTTTGCCACCCTCTTTTCTCAACAGAGGAAATTCGCTCCAGTCTCCCAGAAGGTGCCATGTCTCAATTGCCTTCTACTCAGTTCATCTGGCAGAAATGGAGGGACAAACTAGACAAGGTAACGTTTGTGCATTCAAGAAGCATAATTTCATGGTTTTCATTACAGAGAACGCAATTAATCACTGACAAAACCTGAGTAGCCTTGGAGAAGGAGGTCTAATGCTCTGGGCTTTTCCTGCTATCGACCTTTCTTTCCCATGACCCCACATACTTGGCTGTAGCTGCTGCTTCCCTCTCTAAGGAAGCCTCCACTGGAACAAAATGAGGCTTTTTTCTGGAAATGAATATAGCAGCTTCAGAGAGATGATATTTTCAAGTCAGTGGTAATGGAAAAGGCAACCACAAACACACACAGAAGAGAAAGAGAGTATGTACTAAGTCTCCTCCTATTCTCCACAGTCCTGAAGCTGCTGAGGAATTCCCAGAGCTGTTCTTTACATAATAAATGACATTCTTGCAGGTGAAATTGCCCATCTCACCTCTCAATAGGGCGCTGGTACTGCTTCCGAGTCTGCGAGTCCAGTTCAGCAACTCTCCCGCATTGTCAACAATCTCTTTTCTCCATTCGACCACGTATTCCTGAGGCTGAACCCACTGAGGATCCATGCTGGGCTTCCATGTCACATTGAGACCCAGACCTTCTGACGCCACCACCTCCACCCGCTCAGGGCCCGGGAGCTCTAGGAAAAGGCAAGGCAGTTCATCAGTATGCAGGACATTGCCCAGGGCTCTGGCTCTCATCCAAAAAGACAGCCATAAATTGATCCCGCTAATTGCATTCCCACAAGATGCTTATCTCAGTCAATAAGAGGGTTAGTGTGTTGGGAGAATATCAAAAAATCTTGAACTGACTGGGGTTAGATTCAGCTCCAGGCAGACCCAACCTTGCACAGGGTTAAACCACCTCCATCCAGTCAGCTGTACTGTGAGAATATTAAAACCTAGTCCTTTCTGGGTCATTCAAATTGCAGGCACACATCTCCCATCTACAACTGCCCCCTGCTGTATAGCCAATATGAAATGGGGAGTGGGCTTAAATTGGCAAAAACCGCACAAAGCCAGGAAATGGAAGCCAAGCCCGCTGCACTGTGCAGGAAACATAACCAACGCTGTGAGGTCAGGTAGAAGCAGAAGAGCATCAAGGTGCATTCAAGTGGAGGAGAGCAAAGAGGCTCTTCTGCCCTCTTGTTTACCTCCCTTGACTTTCTCACTCACCAGTTTGGGGTAGAATTTGGGAAGCCAAACCAAGCCAAACCACCAACATGAGAAATAAACAAGGACAGAGTAAGAAAGCTGGTGGCTCTTCCTCCATTCTATGAGGAATTTGATCCTTTCCACTTTTCTCTGCCCACTCCTGCAGGTTTCCATTAAAACTGCTATGGCAAGGCTACATATGTGAAAATGGTAACACATTGCTAAGCTTTCAGCAAAATTTCCTAAGGAGGCTTGGTGGGCCAATTCAAAGCCTCTATGTGTGTGTGTGCGTGCGCCCATGCCTTTGAGTCAGTCTTGACTTAAATGGATGAGTCCTTGCAGTTTTCTTGATAAGATTTTCAGAAGTGCTTTGCCACTGCCTCCTTCCTAGGACTGAGGGAGAATAACTGGCCCAAAGTCACCCAGCTGACTTTTAACTACTGCACCAAATTGGCTCTCAGTTCTAACCCTCGACCTGCTAAAAGACAGAGGTGAGTAAACAGGACTTCTGCTTTTCATTTAGGTCATTTGGTCCTTTCTTCACCAGAAAGGAGACTTGAACAGTTTTGGATGGAACACCTCCACTTCCACTCATTCCCGCAGCTGTAGAGTGTAGGGGGTTTTCTCCCAGCCACCCCCATTAATATAATTATATAAAAAATACACACACAGATACTCTTTAGCTTATTTCCGTCCACCATGCCCCAAATTCCTCATTTGCAGTTAATAAAAATGCTGATCAAGCCAGCCACTAAGCCACCATAGCACATGCTGCTTATGGAAAACAAGATCAGTGTAGTCACAGTTATTGATGTTTAGCCCCTTCTCTGACAACCTCTGCCTCTCTGGACCCATTTCCTTGGAATCTGATGCCATCTGCTTGGGGGCTGCTGCTGTACACATCAGTCCCAGATAGGTCAGCAGCAATGATTTAAAAACTGCTTTCATTAAAACCTTTACATTTTTTGATACTTCCACTTTGGGTCCAACAGTTCTATGCAACAGTTATCCAAATATGTGGATTGGCTTCATCCTGGTGATATCAGTGTTTGATCCCCCCCCCAAAAAAAAGTATTTTAGCTCTTCTCTATCTTTATTTCCTGGATAACAGGATCTTGAGCAGACCACCTTTTTTCTTCCCTCCCTCACAGTCCTTTTCATTTAGTCACATTTGCCTTTTAGCTAAAGTTTTAGTTCTCCCCCATAAATTAGCACCCTTTAAACTCCCCAAGTCTTGGATCTCAGCTGATCTCAGAAAGCTAAACATGGTTGGACCTGGTTAGTACCTGGATAGGAATCTATCAGTTAAAAAAAAAAAACCCAAACCTCAGAAGAAGGCCATGGCAAACTATCTAAATATGGTTGTCAAGAAAACAGCACATCATTTCCACATCATCACCAGGCCTCAAGCTTGACTTGAAGGAACTTCACCATGTTGACAGATCCTTCTCAAGCTATTTAGTTTGTCTGATATCAGGAACTCACCTGGCCTCTAAAAAACCCTACTTGGTTTCACAAAGTTTGAACCCTTGTTGACTTCATTACCACATCAGTGTGACTTTCTTGGCAACAATATGGTGGGTAACATTTTGAGAATTCCCAGCCTTGCCACAGCCTCAGATTTCCTTGTGATTTCCCATCCAAGTATAACCAGGACCTCTTAGCATTTAAGGTTCAGCCCAGGTACACTGGATGATGTCACTTAGCTGCAAATTTCACCTCTAAACTTAGAGAATTGAAGTGGTTGACAGCCTGATACAAAATATATGAGGATCTTTTCTTAAGATTGAGGACAGAAAGCGCAACAGGAATGACTATCTTGTGAGTGAAAGGGGAAGAGGCCATGACATATTTTTCTTCAAGAATCAGATGACTCAAATGAGGAAGGCAGAAAGTAGGGCAAGAGAGAACTGACTGTTTCAACCCTTTATTGCATTGTGGAGGTGCACCTGTTTCCTCCAAGCTGAGATTGGCCCAGAGTGTCATCTTAACGGAGTTGCGTGCTGCTATTGAGGCGTACTGTGCAGTGATAGGGATCCAAGCCTCGCAGCAATTGTAACTCATTCTGTGGAGTGTTTTGCTGCGGTCCCGGAAGATAATTTCATAATCAAGGATCTTTCCCTGGGCTGCTTCTGGATCCAGTGCCTGTAAAAAGGGAGGCAGAGTTCTCACAGTCAAGAAAAAGGTAGGTAGGTAGGTAGGTAGGTAGGTAGGTAGGTAGGTAGGTAGGTAGG